ACCAGTATCTGTACTAGCTAGGCTCAAGATGCCATCCTAACAGAGATGAAAAGCTTGGGATAGGTATTAGAATTGACGAACAGTACAGTGGTCAAATGTGGCTTCTGGAGTTGTTGATGGGCCCAATACTTCGTCCTAAGATTTCTGTAGGTACTAGATACTCTCATGAGCCACACCAGGCCCTTTCCTATTTCCTAGATACAAATGCTGCCACAAGAAAACAGATGTTCCTGTTCCTGAGTATACCCCAGGCTTCAGACTAAACGGAACTCTCCAAAACTGAAGTATTGTTGGCCATTTTACAATGGTGAATCTTAAATTTGTACACAAATAGAAGACTGAGAATAATTTTGTACATAGGTATATTCAGTGAGGGTCACTCTTAGGTAAGTAGATGTAGAACTCACAGCTAAATATATAAAACATCCAAATCAGATTTTTATCAATTAGATCAAGGATGAGACTTTCCCTAAGTCAGTGATGGAGAACCTTTTAGAGACCGAGTGCCCAAAAACTGGCTCCGCCCCCGCTCCACCCCCTGCCCTGCCCCATCCCCTGCCCCACCTGCCCGCAAGGCCCCGCACCGGCTCCAGGGCCCGCCGCAGATTGCCCAGGCAGCCCAGCAGCGCTATGGCGGTCACGCCGTCTGCCCGCGCCCTGCAGCATGAACTGTGCACAATGGGGTGTGAGGGCAGAGTCTTGTCTACACTGCCTGGCTGCCATGTCCTTGCCTGCGCTGCTCCGCGTGGGCCACGCTCAGGGGTGACTCTCCTTCAGAGGGGCTGCTGGAGAGGAGGGGAGGCGAGGCTGGGGCAACAGCACGTGTGCCCACAGAGTGCCGCCTCCAAGTGCCGCCTCTGGCACCCATGCCATAGGTTCACCACCACTGCCCTAGTCTTGGATCCTCTTGTCTGACTCTGTTTAAACTAATAATCATAGTAATTTCTTACCATTTTGAAATGGAAAGTACACTAACATTGTAGCTTAAGCCCTAAAATAGGAATTCCATCATTTAAAAGAAAACCTAGAAACATCACTCTAAAGTCCTGTCCACATTGATAGAAACCTTTCATTTTATGACCCTCATACCTTTAAAAACTCTGTTTAATTCAGCCCTTTCCCACCAAAACATGATCCATTCCTGGTTTAGCAACAAAATAAATGAGTTTTTATTATGGATTTTTTTTCTTCCTCCACAATATCTTTCCCTTTTTTCTCACTGCAGTAGTATTAAGCCAAAAGCATCTTAGTGGCCCATAAGTGCTTTGGCTGTTTCTCACTAGAACAAAGTTTTATTAATTCTGTTTTTCTTCACTTAGAATCATGGTTACTGCTACACTGAAAGTAATTTAATCTAACCAAAAATATCTTGTGTGTCAACTAAACAAACTTCATAATAATGTTTTCAATAGAAAATAGGTATTTTTAGGGAAAGTATTGAAACCAAGACAGATAACAGTTGAAACAATTTAAAATACTCAAGGACATTAGCTAAGAAAGTAAAAAAAAAAAACTACAGCAGCTGATAAATCTGAAAAATTAATAAAACCTATAGCCATATTGACAGCAAATTCAGCTCAGATTTAAAACAATTTCAGTTAGTTATATCAGATTTTGATGTAGGCTGCCTTGCATATCATTTTGGGCTCAGGTACAAGATAAGCAAACAGTTGATTTAACAAGGTACTGGAATCAGACCCACAAACATAGCTTATATACATCAGAAACTTAATATTTTAGATATTCTTGGTACTATGAAGAATTTTGGTGAAACTTGGAAACTTGTGCTTTTCACTACAACTATGTTTAGAATAAAGGCATTTCTGTCAGAAAAAATGTATTTGAAATAACTGTAGAGGAATATTTTAGTGGACAATATTTCAAGTGGGAGAACATTAGGGGAAATTTAGTATTGTCCTCTTCCTTCCAGCTATATCCAAATTGCTGCCATTTAAAGGGGTACTTAAAAGTGCATGTATTCAATGAGATGATCCTAGCCTACATTGTAATATTGCTTTCAAATTCCATTTGAGTGGGAAATTCTCTTTAAAGGAATTATATAATTCTGTATAAATTCAGAATTTAATTCAACATATTTGTGGGCGATAACTTGAAATTGTTATTTTTAATTAGATCACAAATTCTTAGTTTTATGGGGAAGAAACAGCATTTGTAAATATTGTAAATGAAGACTGGTGATATTCCTGTATCACTGAACATCTACCTATGTGTTTGTATGCATATTCAGCTGGCTAGGGAGAGTTATCTACATGCTTTAACATCTGATTGCTACAAAGATATTAGAATCCTATATTTAAGCTCCTAAATCAGGAATATAAATGCAGATATGGTGTTAGTGTCTATATATGAGAACATGTACAAAAGTCTCATTCCCACCATATTTATCCATAGGGGAGGAGGAAAGAGAAAAAGAGATGCCACACACACAATGTCTTCATTCAAATGATGTAACATTTACATAGATAAATCATTTCTAGACTGCCTACTTACACAAGGATTTGCAGCAGTTTAGAGTAACAACAGCCAATAAAAAGTAACGAATCTAGGTAATCTAAGGCAGCCCTAAGACCATCAATGCCCATACGCTTTGTATAATAGGAAAGTTTTCAACGCTTTCTTAATAGGATGCATTCTTCACCTCTGCAAATAAAGTACACAAGGGGTAAAGCTTTTTCTGAGAAGTCTTTTTGCTGAGTGCTCTTTTTCCTCATCTCCTGTAGGGTGAGTACCTTTATCATGTGCTGCCACAGCATTAAGTTATAACCAGCACTTTGCTTTTAACCCACAAGAAAACATAGCCAACACCATAGTAACACCACTTTGTTTAACTCATGGGCTTCTGGTTATTAAATCAGCTGAAATTTCCAAGCCATCTTAAAAGCAGCCCCAAGACCTGCATAAATTGTCTTACAGTGGAGTGTGCCAAAGACATGATTAACTTTTGCCAGGGAATCCCAGTTCAAAAAAATCTGAAATTAACACAAAGACCTTCCTGGCCACAGCCTATATCTAATGTTCCAGGAAGTGTCATGAATCCAGAAGGGCCTCCCAAAACATGGATTTGCTCCAATAGAGGGGCATGACCCTATTAAGAATCAAAATTGGAATTGGGTTCAGGCCAATGAAACATCAACAAACAGTACCAGTCTTGAAGAGATGTAATTTAAGCTTGATTTGACCCATCTAGATGCTTAAGAATCCAAGCTCTAGACCAGAACACAGACAGCAATACTTAGGGTAATGATGTTTAACTGATTTTCAATATACAGATGCTACTGCATGCCAAACTAATCATTTCCTCCAGCAGCTTCAGGGGGTTGTTAAATAGCATAAGGAAAAGGATAAGTCTTTGTGGCAAGACGACTATTTCTCCCCATACACCAACTGGAACTGCTCACTTAGATAGGAACAGAATCATTGCAGAATTGTATCTCCAAGTTCAAATCTTAGCATACATCCAGAACATTGCCATGGTTGATGGTATCAAAAGCCACCAACAAGTCTAAAGTATTAGGACAGACACATTGCACTCTGATCAAACGAAGATAATACACAAGGACAACTAATACAATTTTCATCCCATGCCCAGGCCTGAATTTCAACTGCAAGAAGTCGAGGAAATTTGTTTCTTTAGAATTCTGTTTAGATTCTAATTGCCTTTTCCAAAATTTTCCTTTAAAAGGCAAGATTAGAAATTAGTTAATAGTTGTCCTAAGTGGCTGGATTGAAAACTGGCTTTAGAAGAAGGCATACCGTTACTTTCCTCGAGATGACTAGAACTTCCCACTCTCTTAATAAACCTGCTGAACCACAAACATGGATCAATGTGGGAAAATTCATGTCAAAAAGGGCCCAATACACATTTGACTGATCTTGCTCAATCCAAGTCAGATCTTCTTGCAAGACATTGCCTTGGACTTCTTGAAATGGAACCAAGCTTGGAGCAAATGTGCAATATTTTATCTATAAACAAAGTTGTAAATGTAGCTTCATGACACCAGCAGTATCTTCACTGTTTTTCCCCAAATGGGAATGGGTATCCGTAAACAGATGCAAGTCTGCAGATATGGTAAGGGCAGAGAAATTGCTGTCCTATTTGTTATGGTATACTCCCAAACAGAGATAAAACTGTGATTGGTTAGGTGCATATTTTTTTCCACCATCACTTTGCACCATCTCTGCATTTGTTTCATCTTCTGCAGTTCCTCTACAGAAAGAATCAAGGAACTTGCTAGGTTCTGCAATGGAGGACAGAAATTTGGAAAAATTCCATTCAACTTCCTCACTATTTTCATGTTCCTGAGATTAGTGAGACATGCAAGAAAGCAGACTGGGGAAATCCTCAAACAATCCCCCCAAAGCCCAAATAGACCTTGAGTGGATTATTTCAACATTTCTGCAGAGATTAAACATGATGGCGAGATGCATGAAAACCAGAAAGTGACTTGACCACAGCAAAGGGCAGTTGTCCATTTTCAGATCACATTGCTGCACTCTGAAATAAAAACCAGGTTTAACATGTGACCATCTGTGTGTATTTGGAGGCGAAAATCCGGGTCCCACTTGAGAATGGCTAATATCTCTAGAGCAGTGATGGCGAACCTTTTAGAGACCGAGTGCCCAAACTGCAACCCAAAACCCACTTATGTATCATTGGGTGCCGGGTGGGCGTGGCCCATTGGGTGGCTGTGGCCCATTGGGTGGGCGTGGCTGCGGTGGTAACGGCAAACTGGGTGAGACTAAAAAGTTCAATCAATTCCAACTTTGCAAGATTTTTTTTCCTGCAAGGTTGAAATTGATTGATTGATTGAAACTTTTTTTTTTGCACACGGTGGCAGAGGCCTAAAGTGAAAAGGTTTTATAAAACCCAGCTGAAGATCTAGGACTGGGGCGAGGGCGCGCGTGCCCACAGAGAGGGCTCTGCGTGCCATAGGATCGCCACCACAGCCCTAGAGAATGAAAAAAAATTATGTGTTTAATAATCCTTTGGGGCAGGGTCATCTTAAATTCAGTTTTCAGATGGATTTCCTATAAGGCATTTTGGAAAACAGAATCTTAACAAATCATATTGAAATAACCAGTGATTAATCAATAAAACAATGGAATCACTTATTTGTGAATAAACAAGGAACTTGCATTTAAATGCTTACTTGTTTAAGCAGAACTGTCTACAAGCAAGAATATGCCATAAACTGTACTAAAGGAAATACATTAAGCTCATATAAATCTAACAGCATGTTTCATTGCCAGCAACTTATAATCAGGAGGACTACATTTTTTTAAAAAAAAATATAGTGTTAGAAGAACTGAATGTCTCCATGTTACAATGCAAATTTGCTATCTTTTGAAACACTAGTTCAACAAAATACTCAGCATAAATCAGCTATTAAAGAAAATATTTTATTACGTCATGAAAAAGTATAATCATTCAAATCCAAACTTGTTTTAAAATCTGAATTTTTTTAAGACAGCCTGTTGGTATATTTTGTTCCACATGGGAATGATATGAATACTAATCTTGTTACTAAATATTGCACAGTCTGAAAGAGACAAATAATGAAAACAAAACAAAATCACATGATCTTGGGAACCATCTCACATTATTAAAAAAAAAATCTACTAAGAAACTTTAAAAGGAGGAATTTGCTTCTACAGTAGCTTTAAGTTTATAATCTTGGAATGACTGGAATCCACTGAAGACCATTACAGGGATAGGAAGCTTCATTTCAGCAATCCCTTGTGCAAATAAGATTAATTAGAACAAATAATGCAGTTAAATCCTTGATATCATTGAAACAATTGTCACATCTTTCTATTACATCCCTGTTGGGGGAGAGAAAATATGAAGAACAATTTATGCCATGAGTTTTGCCTGCAATTCCATCTCTGCTGCCTGTTTCAGTGCAACATCCACCAGGAGCTGAAATCCACTGAAGTCCTGATTGAGATCTGGGGGAGTTGGAGGAGGAGTGTTGAAAAGCCCACTTTGTGCATTTGAACTAGGTCCCAACTTATCCTCGTGCAATAGGAGAGAGTTGTCTGTAAAGCTGGTAGGTGAAGCCCACTGAAGATCATCCGTGGTCTGACCTGTACCAGTGAGCTGATTGAAATGGAAAGGGACATCTTTCAGTGCAGTTACGGTGGTATGACAAATTACCGAGGGACGAGCCAGAAGAGATCCTGGAGAAGGAGCATTACAAGTCTTGTTTGATCCTGGGCTAGCAGAGAAAAAGGAGCTCTCAATCAGGGGGATGCAGTTTTTTGAGCTGGAAAATTCCGTTAGGTGGCCATCAATTACCTTGGTCCCTCTTCGTGAGATAGTAAATTGATTTGGGTCCTTCCCATCCTTCCTCAACATGTCAGGCAAAAGTCTGCGCCGTGCATTGATGAACCAGTTGCAGACCTGAGAATACAATGACACTTTCATTCTTACCTTCATTCAATTCCAATTATGCCTTGCATGAAAGCAGTTCAGCTAAATGCCTGAATCCCTTAAAGCTAGATTCCTGAACCTGATCAAAAAAAAAAAAAAAAGGCTGGCAAACAAGTTTTGACACACCCTAAAGACTCTTTCTTGGTTTGGCCAGCCCTTCCTCTCAGCAGAAAACCCAAATATTGCATTGAGTAAAGCCTTAAGTTTGGTTTTAAGTCTGAATATATGTAATGAACAAAGAGTAATCTTTGAGTAATGAACAAAGAGTAATCCAATTCATTACAGTTAGGTTAATTAACAACAGGAAAATATTTTCCTCTGAAACAGTAACTCCTCCCTAAAGGAGTTACTGATTTGCCTTGTTCAACTGACTATGTCAACAGGCAAAAGAGAGATTACCTCACCAAGTTTACCCTTGTTTGAGTATCAAGCCAGTTTCCTGGGCAATAAAAGAAAGTCCAACAGTCCTTTTTTGTTTACTGTACAAGAACTGTTTCTCTTTACAAAGAAAACGTGTGGGATACCTACAAAGAAATAATACCAATTACTCTCAGCCAACATGTCAAAACAAGATTTACAATAAACCCCATGAAATAGGCTAAACTGACACACTCCAAAAATACAAATATACTCATCACCTGTTACAAATTCTGCAAACACAATGTATTATTTAAAAAATAAATCAGGCAGTTAATGGATTGGAAGAACATTGTGTTTAAAATCCCACAGACAAAAGGAGTATTTGAAATTTTCCTTTTATGTTTTCATACCCTCCTCCCCTGTATGATTTAAAATTAATAATAAATGCCATTTGTTAGAAGCTTTCTAGTCTTGAAAAAGCTTCATATCTTTAAATTAATGCACTTAGATTATTTCAAATATTGCTGCAAACCTTATTTCAAATATTAGAAAATGCAACTACATATATATTTACAAAGCAAGTAAAACTTATATAGGGAATTATTACACATTCATCTTTTTTACTGGTTGAAAGGAGAAAGCAAAGCAACACTTAATTTACATACTCAGAACTGTACACTTTTTTCAGAATTTGGAACAAAAAACCAATCATTTGCATTCTTAGGTAAATCAAAGTGCTGATAATTAGACATGAACTGATTTCTAATTATGCAGAACGAAGTATTTCAGTAAGAAAGGGCACAGAGTTTCAAAGGTACTACATCCAGAAGATTTGGAAAAACTGAAATTCACATTCTTTCCATCACTATTACTTTGCCTCATGTAAATCAAGATTTCTCATCAAGCTGGAAGCTTAAATTGTCCTAATAAAAGGCACAGATGGGCACTGAACATTCATACTTATTTTAGGCACTGACCAAAAGGTTAGTCCTGAGTGAGGAAGCATCCATACCACTTAAGCTATGAACTTTGTGGGTCTACAGCAAAACCCAGGCTGAAATAGCACCTTTGTCAATCAAATATCAAGACATTTTTTAAGGAAAGTGGAAGCTAGTAGTCAATAGAACACTGAATATTAATTTTCTTAAAAGCAAAATACATAGTATTCATCAGGTAAACGAACCTGTCATTAGTGCCTTAAGCTTCACTAGGACATGCTTACATACCTGCAGTGTGGAAAGGTGCGTCTGTCTTGACAATAGTGCTTTCTCTTGTTCAGAAGGATAAGCGTTGTAACGGTGTTCATACAGCCAGTCCCGAAGAATCTGCACCGATTCTTTGGGCAAGTTACCCCGTCTCCTTCTCTTGATTGAGCAGGCAGAAGAAGAGACTAGGTCCCCCTGTAGGTACGATAGTAGTAGAAGGCAGAGTGACGGACTATAACGTCGTCGCGGATACTACGTGTACTTTTCCGTCCACACTACGATAGAAAAGATTAAGACGTAAAGAGATGAGCTTGTGCAATAGTGGTAGGAAACGTTATTTTACACCATTATACGTGGTTACTCCTAATCCGTCTTTCAGGATCAACAGTGGTGGCGAACCTATGGCACGGGTGCCAGAGGCGGCACTCAGAGACCTCTCTGTGGGCACACGCACTGTTGCCCCAGTCCTAGGCCTTCAGCTGGGTTTTATAAAACCTTTTCGCTTTAGGCCTGCACCGTCGTGTGCAAAAAAAAAAAAAAAAAAGGTTCAATCAATCAGTCAATTTCTACTTCTCGCAGAAAAAAAAGATCTTGCAAAGTTGGAATTGATTGATTGAACTTTTTAGTCCCACCCAGTCTGCCGTTACCACCGCAGCCACACCCACCCAATGGGCCACACCCACCCGGCACCCGACGATGCATAAGTGGGTTTTGGGTTGCAGTTTGGGCACTCGGTCTCTAAAAGGTTTGCCATCACTGTCCTAGTATCTTTCATTCTGAAAATCTGGGCAACTTGGGTATCTGTCTGTATACATGCAATGATTTGCTTTATTTGGAGAACCACACCAATTATTGTCCAACAATGTAGATATGCATATGGCCAATTTTCTTCAAAACCAACTCTACCACTTTTTACTAACTTAGAACAGTTTTTCAGAGCTAATTCACTTACAGCACTAAATTGTGCTTATTTAATTATATTAGCAATCCCAAAAAAAATAGCGTATATATATATATAGAGAGAGGGGGGGAGGCAGCACACAAACCACTCTCGCTGTCTATGAGAATAATAAAAATAAACCCACAGAATGAAAAATTCGCACTCAATTTTTTTCTGGAACATCAGCTGTCTCCCATTCACAGTTGACCTTTTTAAATTGCTGCTCTTCATTACGCTGACTTTATATAAATATTCTAACATTAAGTCATCTAAGAATAATAACTTGGTAATTAGAAGACATACTAAAATTAAGCCCAATAATAGCTAGATATGAGACTTCATGCAAAACAGTTAACATTTTGCATGGAGTATCACAATCTCATTTATGAATAGAAATGTCAATCCTACTTCTACAACTGTACTTGCAAATTAGCATTTAGCACTATTATACTGAGAAAAAATTTGTGAGAAAATGATAAATTATGTCTCAGAATGATATCCACATTTCCTTCATCTTCTCCCTGAAGTCCTCAAGAAAGGTGGTTTGCCTACATTAGAATGAAGTTTTTTGTTTAGTCTTTCTATAGGTACTACAGATAGTCCTCATTTAGCAACCATAATTGAGACCAGCAACCCCCATTGCTAAGTGAGGTAGTTACTAAGTGAGAACTCATTTTTTTATTTATCAAATTTGTACCCCGCCCTTCTCCTAGCGGACTCAGGGCGGCTTACAGCCAGTTAAAACAGATAACAATACAAAATACTAAATTTAAAATGTAATTAAATGAAATATTAATTATTGGCCGTTTCTTTTTAAAATTATTTTAAAACCAAATTAAAATACTCCTTAGGCCAGTCCTGCTAGCTTAAATAGCCATGTCTTGAGGGCGCGGCGGAAGGAGGGGAGATCCGGAATCACCCGGATCTCTGGGGGTAGTTCGTTCCAAAGGGTGGGGGCTCCAACAGAGAAGGCCCTCATATGACCACAAATGTGCTATCCGTTCTCCCACTCCCAAGTCCTTTGAAATGCTCACCCCACTGGTGCTGGGATAGCTGGCTTGAAACTGACAAGACAATCTTTGACTTTGTTTTTGCCTCCTAACCACTTCCCAAGCTCTGGGAATGCTCACCCCTGATATAATTAGCAAGAAGGAAATTAATGTTTCAATTGAATGTAATTTACATTCAATGGAGAGGAAGGTATTACAAGAGAGTAAGCAGGCACACAATGGGGAATACACATAGAAAGCAAGATGCTGGCCTTGGCAACCATGAGTGCACTGAACAAATGGCCTAGTGTATCCCCCACTGTGTACCTTCTTTTTTTCTTGTAACGTTTCCTCTCCAATCTTTCTACTCTGCAAACTGGGAGAGAGCAACAGGTCAGGCACAGGACAACACATAGCAACTGTAATCGCAATCCCATGACTGAAAGACACTGTGAGGGTCATAAATGTGGCCACTGGTTGTAAAGTTATTTTTTTCAGCACCACTATAACTTTGGGTGGTTGCTGAATGAGGCAGTTGGTAAGCAAGGACTACCTATAGTTCAATTATTCTTTTAGCACTTCTTTAACAGTGCTAACAGGTTTTATTGTAACAAGAACTCAGTATATTTTGGATTGGATAAAAAGGGGAAATGATTATAACTTCTGATCATAACTCCATCTCCATGAACACAGACATTTTCGTCCTATATATTGAAACACATCAGGAAAATGGTTCAATCTCTTGACAATGGCAGCCACACATCAAAACCTGTTCTTTCCAATAGAATAACAGAGCAAAACAGCTCCTCTCTCTGAATACTGATCTAGTGACGTTACTTTCTCAAACTAGTAAATACAAGTATTACTAACGGATTTAATTAATTCAACAACCTCTTGTGAGAAGGATTGTTCTTTTGCGCTGCCACCTTTTATTCTTTCTTGTTCCAAAGTAACACTGGAAATAAATTATGAAATTTATCCCCCAGTATAAATTTGAAAACTAAGCAAAGTTAATCAAATTTGTTAATCTCGACCGTTTTCTTTAGTCCGACTCTCAACACCTAATTTTTTTTATTTATGTCTTTTGAATAAGGTTACGTAGGGACTGCCTTCTTCGTCAATCCGTTCCTTAATCCAATAATAGTGGAGGTAAGATTTAGGAAAGGTAGGAGGTAAGGTGAGTGTACTGGATCTGACCTCGACGTTAATTTCCTAACCTATAACATCCAGAAGCCACATTCTGTACGCTTTCTCTGCTTTGCTTGTTCTAGCAACGGTCCTGTATCTTTTCAGAATGTCTGATGGTGAGGGATAACAATTGTGGCTTTCTTAAGCATAAAATACATTGATGGGAAAATTGCGCTCATTGTTTATCGGTGGATACTTTTTTCCTAGCAACTTCCAGGGTTATTTATGAACATAAACTCTGGTAACCCAATTTGTTATTATATTTTTTAAGAGATACTGTTCAATAAAAATTGAAACTTTTCAAGATAAATAAGAAATGCATTTGTATCTACCAGTGTCAGCATAACAGATCATGTGCAAGGCTAAGAATGAGATTTCTGGTGTTCAATTGTATCAGGTCTCAAGATCTAATTTTGGTCATGCTCTGTCACTAGTGTGTCAGTAAACCAGGTGATTACAATACAATAGGTCGGTGTTCTCTAAATACAATGATAAAGCTAACTGTTGGACCATTTATCCTGAAGAGAATACAGAGATTAACAAGGTGTCCTGCAACATAAATGAACCACCAGTTGAGAAGGGATTGGTGACAAGTTGGAAAGCAAAAGGAAAGGCCCCAGACATTTACTGTAGACGTTGATTGGTTTATTTGCATTTCCAGATATTTATCTAGCATATTCAGTAAGGGGGTGTGGTGATGTTTACAAAACTTTCTTAACCATTGCTGATTTAAACCTGGTTTAATCAACTAATTGACATTTCTGAGATCACACAGTATACCTAGACACAAGATCTGGGTTCATCCAACAGGGTTAGCCAGTTTGTGATCCAGTGCATCATGTGACCATAATATATGAAATCTGGGGTCTCTTTTCATTGTGTTTGATATAATTTATAATATGTCAACACATTCACATGGTCTCTTTCAATAGAGGGGTTTGTGACAGAAGTCTTCCCATGAATGGAACAAATGTAAAAAAGGGGGGCCATTCAATCAAGGTTTGAACTATACAAGGCCAGATTTTTTTTTTCATCAGTGCTCTTCCAGCAATAAATAGCCTAGGTTTCAGTCTGATACCGGTGTTATATTTCTATTTGCTAAAACTTTTGATAGCAGAAAGTAATATAAAAAGGTAGTTTATACCTTATAGAACCCATAGTAATGTGTCAACAGAATGGAATATTCCTTTTAAAAACACTTTCGTACTGTGCTGCCAGATAGTTTATAATATTGAGAGCTTATTGTTGTAGTAGTTCCCTGCTGTCCGGATGAATTTGGGACCCTACTTTCCATATAATAGTCAGATTCATGGACCGTTAGTCATTGCTCTTTCCATACACAGATAAAAAAATGGGAATTCATTCAGGAATGTAACAAAAAGCAAGTCAATGGACCCTAGTATATTACAGAAGATTGACACCAAAATGCTGAGAAAAGCAATCAAGCCAAACTAGTTCAGCTACCTGGAACAGAAGATTACCTTAAAAGTAAAGAAAAAGAAACAAACAAGTTTGAAACTTGAAATAAAAAGTGTTCAAAAGCTAGAAAATTTATTCTGGTCCCTTCAAAACAAAATATAAAAGTTGATCTCCTCCTCACCCTATAAACATAAAAAAAAGAAGAACCAGTAAAGCTCCTGACAGTATAAATAAAAATTAAAGCAAGAACAAACCTGCAGTACTGAATGGCCTTTGATCTGCTTACTTATTGTGACATGTTCCCTCTGCTAAGAGGTTAATGATACAAAACAGGTTTAGGCTAAACAGGAGAAAAATGCTATGCAACTTTGGGGGGGGGGCAGATAATGAGATTTCAATGAAGGAGCATTAACTCTTTGAACTGCCAGGAAAGAGACCCTGAATTTGTGCAGAAGCTGCAGTTACAGGAAACTACAGGGAGCATTAGATGCAAAGTAGTGTAGCTGATTTTTTTATTAGAGCAAAGGCCACATTGGTGCTGCCATGGCAGTGTTTACATTGGAGCGTTTGTGCTGATTACTAACAAGGGAAAACCAAAGCTAGCCTGTAATCAGTCTGTGCTCTGCATTTCCTGTTTTAACAAGGAACAGTTAAAAGGTGGTCTGACTACGCTGCCTGTCTCAGTGCTTTGTTATTTGTTTCTTTACAGAATTCTTGCAGGGAGAAATATTAATTTGGTGTTTCAACATAGCAGATTACAATTTTTACAATTTTCACATGACTTACTTGGTCATAATGTAACCAAAGCGTCAATTTTAAAAAAATAGCTTATTTTAAATTCATCTGAGGGCTGAGAAATATTTAGCTTAACACCAATTTAACATTGTACAACATACTAATGTACATATATATATATATAAGGGTTTTGTCTGTGTTGTTGAAATAACTTTAATGTTCAGCAGTCATTTATTCTTCTGAAGACAATAGTTTTAACAATACTATTTGTCTAACAAAACAAACCCAAAACCACAGTTATAATTTGCAGGTACATTATAAGGTCACTTTGTCCAAAGTTTATGGGCACAGTTGATTTTCATCTCATAGTGCAAGACTCAATTTGAAAAACTCCTTTAAAGACATGTACAGTATGACAGCTTGTCTAAATACATTTAAACCAGGACAAACACCTTTTATGTGTAAATTATTTACCTGTTTGCTTCTTTGTGGCCAAAAAGTTAACATGAAATTACTTCTTAAGCCCTGCCCACATCTGTAAACTATGCATGGTAAGAATATTAATTAATTCCTTAATTTTTGCATATTAAGGAAATGACAAACCTACTGAAAAATTGAACCTTATGAAATAGTGGAACTATTCCGTGGGGGGGGGGGGAAATATTACATGGGAAAGTGGTAGATACCAGCTGCTTTGATAAATTTTCAAAATGCCTTATATCACATAAGTTCACTTTGTACCATAAGCAATGTACAAAACTGCTTTCTCCACAAATCTCTTTGTGTGTGAAACTCTTATCTAGCTGTTTTGCAGAGCAGCTCAGTGATTTTCCAGAAAACACCTGCAGAATTTAAAAATACAAGCTTCAAATTATTCCTAATTTGAAAACTTGAAGTACACATGTGGTATTGACTCTTTCAGTGCAAGAAAGACAAAATTACAAAGAAAAATAGCAGACTTGAGACTGACACAAAAGTTATTAACTGCTAAGATAATAAATATTACTTGAAAAAATAAGAATTTCCCTAGAACTGACTTTCTAATAATTACAAGCATATAATCCTTCCAAGTTCATTTTGGCCAGAAAGTTATAGCACCCTACCTGTGATCTTTATTGTAGAAAGAACGTGTATCTAACTCTTTAAAAGTTAGAGAAGATTGTTTAGAGATTTGAATAGGAATATAGTTCTTCAAAAATCAACATGTTTTTCATTATAGAATGAAATCTCACCATATTTTAAAATAGAAAACTTTTAGCATAGGCAAAAAAAATAGATTAAGTATGATCCCAAGTTGTAGTGACAAAGGAGAAATTTTTGGACATGAAGTAAGAGGAAATAAATCCGAGATACACATAATCATTATGCTAAAGCTTAGTCACATATAACTCACAGTGTGTGCTTTCACAAAACAATGGTAACGCCAGATTTATCACAATTTGTGTAAGCATACATAAGTATAGTATACTGTGCAGTTAATAGATGTTTTAAGAACACTTTCACTGGTCAGTGAAACCGTCAGTGAAATTTGAAGTCTACTAACTCATTTATCCTTTAATATTTTTAACCTTTTGCATATTACTGACCACAGAAACTTACATCACCAATAGAAAAAAATACATTCATATAAAATTGTACAAATCTTTAGATTACAGCACAAATAAAATTTTAGACTTCTATCTAGACCACAAGTACCATCAACCATTCAACTTTTCAAAATGTTTTTGTTCTGATCTCTTTTATATTCCATGTACCTAAAAACTTTTCCTCTTTTGTGCTCTTTTTGATCAATTCTTCCATCCCTCAACTCCTTCCACTTTCTTTCATGCACTTAATGTGTTAAAAGTTTTTATTAAACATTGTCTGGCCAGATGGAACAGGCAGCATGCTTAAAGTTGACAAGACAGAAACTCCAGATTTAAACACACATGCACAAAACAGAGCATCTCACATCCCACCCATCCCCTTCCCCAAAATCTTGGAACAATGGATCAGCAGGAAGGAAATCAGCTCACCCCCACTGTTCAAAATAAAGAGAGCACAGCAGCAGTTACAAAAATAACTATACAAATTATCCAGTCTGGATTTTTTTTTTGGTCCAATAATGTTACAAATATGTTTGTACAAAGTTAAAAAGCAATTATATTTGTCATTAACTTCAGAGGTAGGCCACGGTATGGCTGGAGCACATACTGTTACCATTTAATGATTCTAACTAACTTGTTAGCTCACGTTCCTTTTATATTTCATAGTTACACGTCACTACACGAGACAGTTGCATGAAATGTTTTAGATGCAATTTCAAAAGCAAAAATAAGTTTCACAACCGCACACAAAGCCTAAATCGTTAAAACAGGAGTTACATGGTGTCTTTCCATTTAACTACCTAACTCTAAGCCACTGGCTTTTCTTTTTCTTTTTCGGAGTGTACACGCAGCTACTATTGTAACATAAACTACAGGTAGTTTACACAGGTAGGAAACTCTAACTCAGTGGGACAAATTATGAAAGAGCCATGACCAAAAACTATGCTGCTAAATTCACAAAAACAGCAATGCCTACAAGACATGTCACCATGTCCAGGTTATTTTAAAGTGATTTTCAATTATCTTGGGTAGCCCAGGCTTGCATCTGGAAATAGCCTATAAACTTGCTTTTGTGTCCCTCTTAAAACAGTGTTTCTCAACCTTGACAATTTTAAGGCATGTGGACTTCAACTCCCAGAATTCCACAGCCAGCTATGCTGGCTGTGGAATTCTGGGAGTTGAAGTCCACATGCCTTAAAATTGTCAAGGTTGAGAAACACTGTTTTAAAATATAAGCTGCATTTTTATTATTATTTTTTTTACATGTCCAGAGTCTTAAGCTTGGGAGATCCGCTCTCCAGGCTTTCTTAACCGATTTTTTGCAGAGGCTCCGCCCCTGGCCCTCTGCCCCCTCCCTATCCGACAAGCGCAAACAAAGAAACTACTTCAAGCGCACGCTGTTGCTAGTCTAGGACTTTGTTTTCAGATGCCGCCTGGCTCAATAAAGCTCGCGCTCTTAGTAGAAGGACGGGGTAGAAAAAGGCGAAAGAAGCAGGCTTCGAGAAAGAGTCGCGAGCGGGTCGGGGAGAGAAAACTTGGTTCGGACACAAACCAGGCCTGTTGGGAGACTTGTATGTTTGTTTGACAGGGCGCCAGCAGCCCGCGTTCTGTCCGAAGGGGGGAAGCCCCCTCACCTGCCCACCCGCGCTCCTCAACTTCGCGTTAAAGCTGTAGAAAGAAGCCCGGCTTTTTTCCAAAGAAATGGAGGGGCAGAAGTCCCAATCACTTCCACAGCCCCCTACTCTCTTAAGAGTTGCGTACACCCCAAGCCAGCATAGGCACGCAATTGTTTAGCAACGCCACGAGGTAGGCAAGCGAGGAGCAAGGCTTTTTTTTTCACTTGGAGCCGCTGCCGAAGCCGAGAGAGAGAGAGAGAGAGAGAGAGCAGGACAAACCTACTTACTTTTCTGAGTTTTCATTTCGGTGCCTTCCCGCCTTCTCGTGGAAAATCCCCCCCCCCTCCTTCTATTGCGAAGAAGGGAGAAAAGGGCCGAAAGAAACTTTGGAAAAGAGGGGGGGAAAAAGAAGGGTGGGGGAAAAGAAACGAGCGGAGGAGAGAAGGCAGCCTCCAAGCAGTCTTTTTTGCAAAGGCAGCGTCTGACGCGCGGGACGGACGGGGCTGGCTGGTGCAGAAAGTAACTTGAGAGTGGCCCCTCTCGCCGCTTCTTCCTTCTTTGTTCTTCAACTGGTGCTTGGCACAAACTGCTGCTGCTGCCGCCTCCGCCACGAGGTGTGCCCTCCCCCACCTCCCGGCCCTGACTAAGCGGCAGAGGAGTCAGAACTGCCCCTCCCCTCCCCTCCTCTCCTGCAGGCTGGCCGGCTGGCTGGCTGGCTGGCTAACGGCTTTGGGGGGGAGGAAGGGCGAGACTGTCAAATACCGGCGCTAAACCGAAGAGGAGGTTCCCAAGACGCAGCATA